ACGCATAGCGCCTACAAGACTGTCTGCATACTTCACGCATTGCGCCAAACTCGGTGCGGTCTGCGTGGCGCGGCGGCGGAAGTTAAAATCATCAATCCACATTTATGTTTGTTCTTTTATAATTTTTTCGTTTATTTCTTATGATAGGAAGGCCTTGTCCACACTGAGATAGGTTTACGAACCTTAACTTTCGCGCAAAGTTTCGTGAACTTTTGCTAGTATTGTTGACAGGGCTTTCCCGAAAAATGTGTTCAACACGAGTAAACGCGTCTTATGCACCCCTCCTCCGCTGGCACGTTCATTTTATAGTTCTTATTGATGTTTCAAAACGAATGAGAAGGGGGCTGCAAAATACAGGCGGCCCATGGGCGACAAGTAGATAAATCCAGCCTTGTATGAAGGGACTCTAGTCCCGTCCGTATTTTCGATTGATGTCGAATGTGGAGTAAAACATGGCATCGTTGATTTTCGCGTTAGCAACGAAGTTGGTTTGCTCTGGGCGATTCAATTAAAACTTGTGCCGACGAAACGCATACGATTGAATAAAAACCGAAAGAACCACCGATTCAGAGCTGAGGCCCAAGGAAGCACGACGATGACGGGGAGAGGGGGTGGAATGGGAGAAATTAAGTGAGTGAGACAAAAGTTGGCTGAGTTACAAGAAGGCTGTTTCTATGTTTACTGCATTGGCGCCAGGCTGTAGTCAGCAGACTTCGGGGAAGATAACATGGTCGCACACCGATTACAAGCCGAAGGAGGGAGTTTTAGCCCACATGTTTCGACCGTTCACAAGAGACTGGAGCATAGGCGTAGCTAGGCCATTTTGCTGGGGGGGGGCCTGGCCCCCCACCACCGGGGGGTCCGGGGGGCCTCCCCCGGAAAATTTTTGAAATTTTAACTCTATTTGAGCGCATCTCGAGGCACTTGTGGCGTTAATCTTCCTTCAATTTCTGCATAAAATTCACCCAGTTTTATGCATTTTAAGGTTAAAATACTTTGAAATTGTTGCATTCAACAGGTTATTCCATTTATTTTCTCACTTTTAACCACTCATTTGTGTGAAAATTGCGAAATAAATGTTTAGTGAATGC